CCCCCCTTCCTGACCCGCCACACTCAACGTGCGTTTCACTTCTTCTGGCCTCAGTGTTTACAAAGTAGCGACATCTAGTATCAGGATTACCGTACAATACAGATTGACTCACTTGGTAACAGGCTGTAACACTAGACGCAGTTTCTCTTACACCTCGATATGCTTTTAAATATGCGATCTTCTTCTTTCGGTTAACCCGTCTGCATAGAGCCGGGCTCGCCAAGCTTTCGGTGCTTCTCCGATTGAGCCCTTTGTATTTGCCTCTGACTCAATAAAAAAAAAAATCAACAGCTTTGTAGCTGCAACAGCAGCCCACTTGAGTAGGATTATGTGAAGAATTATCCTTTGATATTTTGTGGCGCTATCTGGCCTCATACACAGTCGATCACGTGTTTTGTTTTTTCATTTTGGACTCGAAAACAGGTTCAGTTTCCCTCTTAACGCAGAAGATCTTAAAGATCAACCCATTTTGTTGTTTTTTTTCATTCCCGTGCACTAACCATTGTGAACTACCCACACACAATGTGTGATTACGGGGGGAAGACAGCTGCTATTACGTGAAATTGTAGGATTTCGGTTTACAGATGAACCACTGTGCCTAATCTCCGTTGATCCACCACCCAGGCTGCAGGGGAATTAGAGTGCGGTGCGAATCAGTCATCTGGCAGGTTATCTCTCAGCGTCCAGAACTAATACCTCTCTTTTAGCCACAGTGTGCTTTTTCACGTGGAACCGAAGTCTTAAAAAGAAAGGATCATTTCAGTCTAAAAACGTATCTATACGCATAACAGCCTAGACCTCGTTTCAATAGCTAGAGCTTCATTTGGGTTTCTTTTTAATCTGCATCCTGGTTTCTGTAATGTCGCGCCATACGGACTACACTACACTGACCCAAAGTGAAGGACTACCAGTGTGAAATGAAATACCGCTGCTATACAGAGGGACTTGGCCTCTGTGTAAATCTGAAGAGCTGGCCCTGAATAATGCATATAGATCAGAATGGCAGGAGGAGATGTTGTATGTGTCAAAGCGCAGATTAAAAATGCATGCATCTTGTGGCGCCTTTAGTTCCCAGGCTTCAACGGCACGTCAGGCGCTTAAAAATCAGACGCACCAGTACAAACGTGTGCAGGGGGCTTCTCGCACCTCTTACACAGTGAAAAACCCGATCGGGCCTACTGAAATCCTGTTAACATTCAAAATAAATAGGGACCGCCATGTTTCTGTGTAAATATATCATATAGAACGAAGCCATGCTCAAATGTTTGGTCATCTAATATGATGATATCTGTGCAAGGACGTACTGGAGTACTGTTCCATTGTGGCTAGGGCTCTTTCTGAAATATGACCAGAGGAATTCTTAAGTGCTAAGACTGACGCTGAAACTGGCCATAAATGAGTTATTTTGCCTCGCTCCAACAGTCTTCCTGTTTCCTGTGAAATAAAGCCGCGATTATTTATACAGAAATTCGGTTCATTTCTATAATTTACCGACTACAAATATTTTGCAGTTCCCTTTCGGGAACTTTTTTACTCTACAGAGGCTTGGCTCCCAAGTCCTTTTGCATGAATCCCGAAAGGGGTTTGAAGGTGTTACATTGTCATTTGTAAGAACATCAGACGACAGAGACGCTCAGCCTTTTCTGGGTGTATTCGGAAACGCTCCAGATTGGTGACACACCGGTCTTTCATTTTTAATGTGGGTACACTGCTCTCTCCTCTTTAGCTAATGGGTCAGACAAGGACATCTGTCCTATTGCACCACGGTATTACAACCACAAAATAATATCTGTAACGGCCTTCTTGTAATAAATATGTTATTCCAACATCCTCATTGGTTAGTTGTTACCCATGTGACATTTCTGATATTATGATGTGAATTTTAACAACATAAATTACATAATCAAAACAAATAATCTACGGGACATTTTATCCTAGATTATTCATATAATTGTATCCCGGATCATCATTTTGTGACACAATAATAACACCCCAAACTCCTCCTCGGCGTGCTTCACTAACGAAACCCCAAACAGTTATTCCGGCCCCTTTTGTAATCTCCGCCTTTGGTTGCACGTCGGAACTATTTCTTAGTCGTAAACAGCTGCTTCCTGTATTTTATCATTCTCGGAGAGAGGGGCGAGAGGTGTTCTGTTAAAGAAAACGGGGGAACAAATACAGGATTTAGAACAAACAAACAAATAACAAATTAAAACACGGCCCCAGTCTGTAAGAAAAAAGGAGAAGCAAGCGACTCGATCAAGCATATGGCGCCGCCGACCCGGAGAAGCAGAGTGGTTCGCTGTATCGTATAAGAAATAAAAACAGGAAAAGTTCAATTAAAAATTGAAGACGCTGTCTCAAACTAACGTCTTGACTTTTTAAAATGTTGTTCCGTTTTGTTGTTTTAGTATTTTATCTCCCTTCTCGTGAGCTGGCGTGAATAAATCAAAGCGATGCGTTACTTCAGTTGAACACCGAGTCCGCGGCATTAGTCTTGACAGAAGTTGTGTCTTGGAGAGTAAAGTGATATACTCATAAGGAAAACAAACAAACGGAAGAAAGGAAAACAACCCACCAGGAAACCATGGTTTTCGCGTGAAGAGCGTGCCTTGTGCCGGGATTTTAATGGGAGGCGGGCTGCGTCGCGGAGAAGCTTGTGGGCGAGTGTTCTTGCGCAGGAGACGGAGGTGTCGAGGGGCGCAGCCGGGCGGCGGGCCTGAATGGAGTCGCTGGCCGGGTACGTCTACAAGGCGGCGAGCGAGGGCCGGGTCCTGACGCTGGCCGCCCTCCTGCTCAATCACTCGGATGCCGAGACCCGCTACCTGCTGAGCCATGTCACGCACCACGGCGGGCAGAGATCCACTCCGCTCATCATAGCAGCGCGCAATGGCCATGCCAAAGTCGTGAGGCTGCTGCTTGAGCACTACCGAGTGGACACCGAGCAGACGGGCACCGTGCGCTTTGACGGGTGAGGGCATTTTCTCCGTTTGTCGTCGCAGTCTGGTTAGCCTCTTTCTGCGTCACTCTACAAATGGGTTGTAAAAGCAGTTCAAGGAACAAGGGCGGGGGACGCAAACAGCAGCCTGGTCTGTAAGTCTCATTACATGGCTGTAGTTGGATCAGTTAATGTCGAGGTGACGGGAGTCGTCGCAGCGTTGTGAAAACCTGTAACTACTGCCAGGGTCTCGATGGCGGAGGGGTTGCTGACAAACTTGTCTGCAGAACCAAAACATAAAACAGAGCAGAAGTACAAGCAGGCTCATTGTCAGAAGTACACGCGCAAGCTCATTCTTTTGTGGGTATTTTTAAATAACCTTCACGTGGTAAGTGTAGTGCAGTTCAAAGTCTACTCTGTCTTCAAGACCGATTTATGTGATATGGGAACACTGAGGGGTGTCTTGCACCTATCTGATGGGCGGGGGACATGCTGACCATGCTGAGGAGGACATTCAGGCTGGTAGCAGCTCGTTCGTCGCAGGACCTCCGTGGGCTTATTGTCCGTCAGTTTGCAGTTTTTCAGCCTGTGTAGCATGGCCAGGTAGTGTTTTCCAAATCCCCATGGCACTTCGAATGAAGAAATCAAACCTGTTTCCTATGTCAGAGTTGCTTAAGTTCCACCCATCTCTCTCTGCACCTGGATTCTTCCGTAGTTTAAAGCATTTGCTTTGGTTAGGTTTGTAAGTTTCCTTTGGGCAGTATGAAGACATGATTCACATTCCCATAAACTAGTGTTCTGTTTTTCTAGCTAAGGAGATTTTTTTTCTTATTTTGCAGGAAGACATTCGGACCACAGGCTGTGTGAGCAGTTCCTAAATCAAAAGAGGTTGCAGTCTGAGGGGATCTAAGTCTTCAGAGTAGCACTAATACTACATTAGATCAAACCTTTAGAACTTTGCTCCGCCTGCCAGTTGTAGACTCTGTGGTGTCACACAGTGCTTTTTCTTTTCCTGGAGGTTTGACTCTACCAGTATGTCATGCAGAAGTTCCATGTGGTCTTGAAGTCACTGAATTGTGCTACATTAAATTGCTTACCCTCTCTCTGATCAGATTCATTATTTTTCTTTAGTTATTCTGCAGTTTGTACGCACAGTGGGTGCTGATCTTTACAATGCTGCTTCTGTGGACCGCAGCAATGATGTCAAAAACGTCCCATTGCAAGATCACTCTTCCCCGTTGAGCTTTGACATATCTGTGATTTGCACCCTTGCCAACTGGACGGTTTGCCATGGCTAGGGTTCCTGGCACCGATGTGTCACGTGCCTCTCTTCCCTCTCTCCCCAGCTATGTGATCGATGGTGCCACGGCGCTGTGGTGTGCCGCGGGGGCAGGGCACTTCGAGGTGGTGCGCTTGCTGGTGATGCGCCACGCCAACGTGAACCACACCACCGTGACCAACTCCACGCCCCTGCGCGCGGCCTGCTTCGACGGGCGGCTGGACATCGTGCGCTACCTGGTGGAGAACAACGCGGACATCGGCATCGCCAACAAGTACGACAACACCTGCCTGATGATTGCGGCCTACAAGGGCCACACGGACGTGGTGCGCTTCCTGCTGGAGCGCGGCGCCGACCCCAACGCCAAGGCGCACTGCGGGGCCACGGCCCTGCACTTCGCGGCCGAGGCCGGGCACCTGGACATCGTGAAGGAGCTGGTGCGCTGTGAGGCTGCCATGGTGGTCAACGGGCACGGGATGACGCCTCTGAAGGTGGCGGCCGAGAGCTGCAAAGCGGACGTGGTGGAGCTCCTGCTCTCGCACTCCGACTGCGACCGCGAGAGCCGGATCGAGGCCCTGGAGCTGCTGGGGGCCTCCTTCGCCAACGACCGCGAGAACTACGACATCCTCAAGACTTACCACTACCTGTACCTGGCCATGCTGGAGCGGTACCGGGACTCTGCCAACGTCATTGCCAAGGAGGTGCTGCCCCCCATCGAGGCGTACGGGGGGCGCGGCGAGTGCCGCACCCCGCGCGAGCTGGAGGTCATCCGGCAGGACCGTGATGCCTTGCACATGGAGGGGCTGATCGTGCGGGAGCGCATCCTGGGCTCCGACAACATCGACGTCTCGCACCCCATCATCTACCGCGGTGCCGTCTACGCGGACAGCATGGAGTTCGAGCAGTGCATCAGGCTGTGGCTGCACGCGCTGCAGCTGCGGCAGAAGGGCAGCCGCAACACCCACAAGGACCTGCTGCGCTTCGCCCAGGTCTTCTCGCAGATGATCCACCTGAACGAGCCCGTGCGGGCGCCCGACGTGGAGGAGGTGCTGCGCTGCAGCGTGGTGGAGATCGAGCGCAGCATGGCGCGCGTGCAGGGCTCCCCCGAGGCCGAGCTGCACACCGCCCTGGACAACTACGAGTCCAACGTCTTCACCTTCCTCTACCTGGTGTGCATCTCGACCAAGACGCAGTGCAGCGAGGAGGAGCGGGCGCGCATCAACAAGCAGATCTACAACCTGATCCAGCTGGACCCTCGCTCCCGGGAAGGCTCCTCCCTGCTGCACCTGGCCATCAACTCCAACACCCCCGTGGACGACTTCCACACCAACGACGTGTGCAGCTTCCCCAGCGCCCAGGTCACCAAGCTGCTGCTGGACTGCGGCGCGCAGGTCAACGCAGTGGACAACGAGGGCAACAGCCCCCTGCACATCATCGTGCAGTACAACCGGCCCATCAGCGACTTCCTCACCCTGCACTCCATCATCATCAGCCTGGTGGAGGCGGGCGCCCACACTGACATGACCAACAAGCAGAAGAAAACGCCGCTGGACAAGAGCACCACGGGCGTCTCCGAGATCCTCCTCAAGACTCAGATGAAGATGAGCCTCAAGTGCCTGGCCGCCCGCGCCGTGCGGCTCCATCACATCAGCTACAAAAACCAGATCCCCAAAACCCTGGAGGAGTTCGTGGAGTTCCACTGAGATTGACGAAACCAATAACTTGGATCTTTTTTTATTTTTTTTTAAAAATTGAAACCATTGGTGCTGGGGTGAAAAAAAAAAATAACAACAGATGATTAATGACAATAAGAGAGGTTGTTTCAAAACAATTTTAGATTATTTTTCTTTTTATTATGTGATGAGCATGAAGTATAAGCAACCAGTTTCCCCGAAAAGGCATGCTAACCTCTTGGGTGACGTCTCCCGTCAGGTGTTTCTGAACAGCGGCGTGTTTTGATACAGTGTTGTGTGCAGACAGAGAATGGGGCATGGAGTTGGCATGAGATCCCTCTGTCATCGCTGGCGTGTCCTGATGAATCCCTTGTCACAGAGCTTTAACTCCAGTGTCCGCTGTGAAGTCGGGCTTTCTCTACACTTAGTGAAACCATATTGCTCCAGGTTTAGATTATTCAGCTTTTGTCGGAGTGTAATGGCTAATGGACGAGAGGCAGAAGAGGAGGAGGAGAGGAGCATGACTGCCTCCCACTTCAGCCCTCAGGTCCTGTGGGAGCTCATGCCCACTGGTGTTTATGGGGGAGTTCGACTGCGTCATCCAGTGCAGTGTTTATTTTTATCTGTACACTTAATGCCTTGCTTTAGAGAAATACCCTTGGGGAGCAACTTTAGGATGCATTTGGCATTTCCTATAAAAATTCACTTAAAATCTTTTTGTGCATGAAGTGAAGTGTACTCGCACTAGAGGATGAGCCCAGTCTGATGCCTTCATTGCCTTCTTGAAAGGGTTCATATTATAATTAGAATTAGAATTACAGCCATTGCGTTCTTGTCTGTATTATTTGACTGGATTGGTTTTGAACAGGTATTACTTTTAACCTTTGAAAGATTACTGCCGACCTTGAGTTAGAGCTTTGTGATAGTGGTAACATCTGTTGAAATATTTTTCTGCTTCAAAAATCATTTTAATTCTGTGACAGTTCAGTTCCTAGAGATTTGCATTTTGTTTTGCTTTTCTTTCTGTAACTGGAAGGGGCTTGTTTCTAAGATGGCATTATGTTTGATCCCATTTGGAGATACTGGTAGCAGATCTGGTGCGAGGGGCCAGAATATTCAGAGAATTTATTTTCACAGAAAGCTTTAGTGTTCAAAGCTAGACATTTGGAAAAAGTTTTTAAAGTACCTGTATTACACACACAAAGTGATTTTAACACTGTTAGTAATTTTTAACAACTGTAGTTAGACACAAGGTCTTATCACAGACTGGAGAACCAATGCAAGAAATGCAAAATCATCTTAAATCATTTAGAATGTAATAATGCTTCCGTGAGTCAACACAAATCTCAGGTTTGAAGCTGTGTAGCCTTGTCAATGGTACCTGAGAAGCAAAAACAAATATAAGACCAGCACTGCAGTGTAAATGTTTTGTGTAATTAATATTTCAGGACTAATGCAAACAGAAGGCAGTATTTCTCCCTGGAGTTATCCAAACACCAAGGCTGGTTCTGTGTCAGGGTCTGGAGGCAGGTTTCATTGAGTTGAAGCACATGTCAGATATAGGGATGGAAGTAACACTTCAGTGTCCTAGGCAGTATAATGAGCTCTGATCTGTTTTACAAGTTGTACCAATGGATTCTCAAGGCAGACTTGTCTGCTGTTGTCTCCGTTTATGTTTGTGCTTATTTATTCGATGGAGGTCACATGGGGTCTGCAGTTTGAGGTACTGCCGGTTTTGGAGGCTGTTTTGCAGGGGTGTTGGGGGTTTATTTCCACTGTTCCAGAATGCATGTGCAAGCACTGCATGTGCAAGTCTGGGCTTGGCGTGGGCAGCTCCAGTCCTCTAGGGGCTAGGCCCTGCAGGTTCACTGGAACTTCCTCGATCGCACATGATCAAGACCTGAAGAACCGGGGGGATCTAACTAATTCGTTCAATTCCAGAAGTGGAATAAAAACCACAAAACCCTATGGCCTTTGTCAGTAGTTGCCCATCCCCGGTATAGATAAACACTGAATCAGATGTGTACACCTGTTTGCCGTCTAGCAGGATATATTTGCCCCGTGCCTCAACACTGAAAGGAGTGTTAACCTGGTCTGTTTGAACTAGTAATTCAGTTAGATTGAGATTACGTGTATTAAGAGACAGAAAACTCTGTGGCTCCCAAGACTTGGTACTTGTTAGTCTGCACCAGACTCATTGCTTATTTTCTTTTTTTCGTACCGTACCCACTTGGATTCTTCAGCCCAGTATGTATTTTTTTAAATATGTGTTTTAATTACAGATTCAATTTATAATTTTTTTAAAGGGGTAATCAGTCCCTAAAATCATTCACCAGGCACCCAGAGCTTCAGCTCCTGTCTGCAAATATGCCCACCACCCACACTTGCGTGGCAGGGCTGCAAGTGAATTGTGCTGCAGCTTGTTAGCCATATGGTGCTCCAAGGGCTGGAGGCTGTGTGGAGACCAGCTGCTCTCTCTCCCTGGCAGCCGGAGCTCTGCTTGACCACTGGCAAGGTGAGGGCAGCTCTGAGAGGTTAGAGATGAATGCAGTGATGAACAGCCCCAAGCTCAGGACACGGAATACATGTGGATCGTATCGCTGGGCTGCACTTTATTCTTATAACACAGTTTTTTAAATTATTTTTATCCTTAACAGCAACAGATTTTTTAGAAATGTTCATTTAAAAAAAAAACATTTGAAAATATTTTTTGAAATTCAATAGTAAAAAAACAAAGTAATTTCTTATAGATTCACTCAAGTGGAGAACCGTTTCAGAGTCCTTTTAATTTTCTAAAAGTCCTGTGGCATTTCTACCTGTGGATCCAAAGACATAATTTTTTTTAACGTGTTGGCTACAGTTCGAGTCTCTGTAAATGCATGTAATGTGCAGTGAAACTTTTACATTTAGGTTTCCGTGCTCATGCCTGCAGCGAATGGTGTATAATTCTCCTTTTAAGCCCTAACCTGTCCTGTGCTGAATATCTGTATCATGAGCTTAGTACAGATACATCTTGACGTAAAGGGATGCATGTGTTCCATTCTCGACCCCGTGTTTTTGCAATGGAAATAAATGCTGTGTTGTCTTGCTGTTCCGAAAGAGCAAAGCTTGTTTCGGCCGGATATACCTGTAAACATAACAGGGCAATCTCCATTTCTTTTGTCAAATCCCATGTAACCAGCGATTGTATTGTAATTAGATTTTACAGAAATGTTTTTGAAAAAGGCATTAAAAATGAAAAAGTGCTTTTGGAGGCCCCTTATTCTAAAAAAAAAAAGCATGCTACAGCTCGGATCTCTGGAGCAATAGCATTGTGTTAGAAAGCATAATGAAGTCAAGTTTCATGAGAATCAGCCTATACAGTCTGTGTCAGGTGAGTAGAAGCGTCGTGGTGATGAGAATGTATGATATTGATGTTTGCTGGAAATGACGGACATCATGGTGGCTCAAAATTGCGTAGTTACATTAAGGGCTATAATTAACAGGAGGCCATTTTACTGGGTTTGGTGTCACGTAGCCGAGAAATCCCAGAATCTCATCTCGTCATGTTTTGGGGGACCCTAGGGAGCAAGCTTGAACAGCTTGGGGGTGCCGTTTGCTCCAGCCAATGAAGAGCGTTTTCCACTGAGCTGAGGACAGATTGTTTATGGTCGCGGCTCTCTCCCCTCCCCCCCCCATCTGCAGATAGTGGAGAACAGAGGCTCCTGTCTTGTCTTCTGTTGGCGTTTGTTTTATTCCCCCTCCCCAGACGAGAGCAGTCTGAGGTTGCATTGCTGAGCCAAGTCGCCTGCCTTCCGTTCGGCTCCCGTCCTCCGCGATGCCTACAATCCCCCGCGTCCTGCCAAGCTCTCTGCACACGCGGGAGATGAAAACCCCCTTCTGTTTTTTGCGAGGTGCTGGACTTGTGGGCTGGCTGAGGGCCGCTCTGGGTGTGACGTGGAGTGATCGTCTGGCCTGTTCCGCTGCGCTGCGTGCTGTAAGCGTCAGTAACACTTGCACAAATAAAGACTCAGGTTTTTTTTATTCTAAATAATTAACATATTTACAAACCTTATTGCATAGATGGCAAAATGCATATATTACAGACGAGGCAGGGTCTTTCCTCTCCCTGCCCTGATGTGTTGACTGTACAAGTCTTCTGTAAGCATTCAGAAACTAGACTTGAACGTATAGTAATCTACCAGCAGGCTGTCTGGGCTGTTAGACCTTACTGCACTGTTCGGCATGGTGCTCTTCTGTCGTTGGTCTGTCTTGCATGTCCTGGGATATCCAGTCTGTCCTTTCTCAACCAGCAAATCCCAGTACAGTCTCCCAGATTCAGTCCTCTGAGCCCTGACTGTAAGATTTTGTTTGCTCAGCTGCAAAAAGTATGTCATTTCACGGATTTACATTGTGAGTTCTGCACTTAAAGGGCTGCAGGCTTCAAATATATGTTTCTTATAAAACCCTTCAACCTTTTAAGAGTGTTTAAGTAAACTATTAGTTCACATAAGGGTTTAATAAAATAGAAAATTAGTGTGTCTAAAATTGTTTTAAAAATTTAAAACAAAATGACTCTGGACACACTCATAGAGTGACTGAACCTCACTGCTAGGACTGTACAGTGTGCATACCCTTCAAAGAAGGCTATTTGTTCAGATGTTCAGATACAAAACATTTAAAAGAAAGCCCAAGGCTCTGCATTAAAAATGGTACAGCTATGCCACTAGTTACAGGGGAAAAGCCGTATTCCTAAAGCTGTGTACAGCAATCTGGTGACCAGGCTATCGTAGGAAAGATGTGTGAGCCTATTTACAAAATTCAAGTTTTTCATTTTACAAGATAAAAAAAAAAGTGCATTTGAATACTGAGATACTGTGATTAAAAGAACATACAATTTTCTGGGACAGTTTAACAGAAGTCCTTAAAAAAAAAAAGTCTATAAAGTCATATAAGCTGCTCATTGGGTTAACATGTTAACTGAACAGTTTGTGGCAGTTGCACCTGTGTCGCTGGGATGCAGTTCACAGTGGTGCCTGAATCGTGATCTGTGCCTCTGAAGCACAGGAGGGCAGCACAGTGACTGGCAGGAATGTCCTTGTGAAACTCGCCTGCAAGAGCACCACGAGCCAGGCTGGAGCGCCGCGTGGCCGCCCAGGACTTCTGCCCTGCAGTTAGCCACGTGGATGAAAACACTTTGGTTTAGCACAATATCGTATATTAAAAACCTAGAATCCTAAGTAAAATAAGGGTGAAAAGAAAACCAGGTACGTTTGTGATTGTGAATCAGGGGTGCTGCTGTCATCATTCAGACTGCCTGACTTCACCAGGAACCAGTTCAAACCTGCAGCCTCCTCTCTGGGGAAAGTGTGGGGCGCACACTGGCTAACGTGTCCCTAAACAGTACTGCCTGTCCGGATGTGGGGGTGGTGCGAGGTAGGGAGGTCCATGCTTTGCTCACATCTGGCCCCAAGGGCAGGGCCAGTCCGTGGGGGAACCGGAGGAAAGGGGGCTCAGGGGTGCAGCTGTTCTGACACGGGTGGGCCCGGCGGGCGTGAGGGTCCCACCGGTGTCTGACGGCCAGGCTGAGTCCCCAGACGTGCTCCGCCGCCTCTGTACGGGAAGGTGCTTCAGCGGGGTGGAGGGAGTGATGGCAGGCTGTCCTCACGGCCCAGGGTTACCGCTCCTCCATTACTTTCCCGTTGGCCTCCTGCTCGGCCTCCTTGCCCCGCTTCCTCCTCTGGAAGAATCCCAGCTGGGGAGGGACCGGGAGACGGCAGTGAGCAGGGCGCAGTCACACGACAGGGCAGGGGGTGCAGGGCCCAGTAAAGACCGAAGCACAACCACGATCAGTGTTGGGCAAGCTTTCAGAAGGGGTGTGCCCAGAGTTGGCTCATGCACTTGTTTTTATGGCTTTGCGTGCTACGGGTACTCGTTAAATGTCAATAATAGCTCTACTTCCAGTTCACTTAATGAACAAAATGAATATTAAAATACTAAAATGAATCATCACCATGTAGTGTGATCCTTGCCCTTGCTTTACACTTTTCACTCTTTAAGCGGCATGCAAGCCTCTGAGTATTCAGTTAATTGGCTAAAGCAGGGACAAAGAGCTGACTTCATGTGACCACACACAGGTACAGTATGTCGAATGCTGAAAAAAAAAATCCCAAATCAAGACCATTGTGATAATAAATAGGCGCTTAAATGATCAAGTGAAAGTTGTGGAAACAAATATCACACATCACCCGTAATATAATGTAAGACGTTTGACGTCTCTAGGAGGTTTCGTTATGGTGCTATTGAAGTTCCCAAAAAATGAAAACTCAGTGAATGTCGAACTTGGAGCTAATTTTCCTGCAGTGCATTTAAAAAATCCGCAACACTCATCCATTGAAAAACTGAGGAATCCACGTTGCTGGTTTCACAGTTGTCTAGGAGGTTTATCAGAAAAGAAAATATACAATAGGGTGAAAATGTCAGATTTCCTGAAATCCTGATCAAATTCCGATGCCAGTTCTGGTATATACATTCCAATCTCAGCATCATGAACTGTACAATATTTGAATGTCCGATAAGATGCTGTGAATAATGTAGAATTGAGGTGTCAATATTCCTAGAGAAAATGGCAAATTTTGCAAGAACTGCCTTCCACGTTCTGAAAAGAGACATTACAGTTTGCTCTTGAGGTTGAGGTTTCATGTGTAGCGATATTGGCTAGAAACATTAGCTTTGAAACCCATTTATCATCGTGCACTAAGAAGACCTTGATTGCATCAGGCCTGTGCACAAAGTGAGCCAAAACCTTCCCACGGTCTTACAGTGTTTGACCTTGTGCTGAAGTGTGAAAAATATTATCTGGAGCACGGATTGCAAGCTTTTCTGTGAAAACAATAGGCTAGCCCCACTGAGAATGTTATAGAGATTTACAGATAAGGTAATTTAAGACTTTATTGGCCCTATACAATTTCTTGCATTAGCAATTTGTCTTTTCGCATACTCCAGCTTGCTCTCCATGAGACACATAGACACAGAGTGAAGCTGGGGGTCAGAGCGCAGGGTCAGCCCCTGGAGCAGATGGGGTTAAGGCCCTTGCTCAGGGGCCCAACGGAGTAGGATTCCTCAAGCAGTCAAGCATCATTTTAATGTTTTTTCACTTTTAATTTCTTCATAGCATATTAGACAGTTAGTCCAAGTGCCCTTAAAAAATCCCTATGTGGAAAAATAATGGATGCCACAGGACGCTGGGCACTGCCCTAGACGATGTGTATGGAGTTTTAAGCCCCCAGAAATGTGTACACATGTGCACGTGTTTGTGAATTTACACTACTCCCACATGGGAGACGCCTCTGTGTCCCCAGGTGTAAAAGTAACAGACAGAAAATCTTTCAACCTCGCTGCAAGCTCTCTCTCAATGTAAAGGAGCTCTCCTTTCTCTTTTGACGCTGCTGTACTGTCTTCTCTGTTGGTAATGTTTGTCTCCCTTGTTTTACCGTTGTTGCATTGGACTGCGCAGTAAAACACATTTCCCCCAGAGGTTAGCGGCGTTTGAACTGAAGTGAACGGAGTCCTCACGGTGAGGCAGGACGGCTCTCGGCACAGAGCTCCAGGTGCTCACCTTCCACAATGCCAGGATCAGCAGGGCTAGGAGCAGCAGCCCCCCCAGCGTGCTCCCGATGATAATCCAGATCGGGATTCTGTAATCCTCCTCTTTTCTGATCTCCAGGATTATCTGCGGAGATGAGGAGAACGAGGGGCGTGGTTGAGAAACTGCGAGCTCACCAAGCGCTAGGCTGCTCCACGCTCGTCTGACCATGAGCGCAGCAGAGCAGACAGACAGAACGACGTAACCCTGCCTGCACAGGATCTGCAGCACTTTCAGTCCCAACACACATCTCTGCCAAATTCCAGTGCAGTGAATGTTTTTCTTTAAAATTTAAAAGAAAAGGCTGGGAAATGTTATCTAAATTATTTAAAAAAAATAACTGATCCATTCTATTTTCCCAATTGTAATTACCGAAATATATCACTGTCAGAGAGCTGCTCACAGTGCCCAGATGTTTGACAGTAAAGGTTTTATTGACGTCTGAAATCCTCTTTATTCTGATGGGGGAAATGTCACGTGAAATTCCACCTGCAGGTGGCAGTATATAGCTATTTTAGTCAATTCAGACCTCCCTTGTCTAGACTGTTGGTCCTCCTGGTCCTTAAGCTCAGCCAGAGCTCTGTGTGCTTTCCCACTCAGACAGGCTCTGCAGCTTAATGTCAGCAGCTCAGCTCTCTACTCACTTGGCGAACTGGTTTCTCCTCGTGCATGAACATCGGGCTGGACAGGTCCAGCTTTATTGTGGCAGTTGTCACAAGCTCCAGCGACTTGAATTTCACCTAGCAAGCAAAAAATAAAGTTGTAATGAACAGCCGAAACTGGTTCAAAATACAAAAAGAATCATCAGCAGTGTCATAAAATGGAGTTGCAGAGCTTTGTCATCTTAAAACAATCTCTTTCTTATAAATCAGTTTTTCAAACATGTCTGGAAAAGACAGTGCTATATGTGAGCATCTGAGTCAGGCTTTGCAGGCTGCACATGAGGCCTTCAGAAATGTGGTCTGCTCTGTGCAGCTCTGAACCTGTGCCGTACCGATGAGTATCTGAGGTGGGCGGGGCTGCAGTTTCTGCCCTGGGCAGCAGAGGGCGCCCCTGAGGAAGCAGGCAACTCACTGTGCGGAGTGAATCGGTGTGGAGGATCCCCTGGATGCGGATGTTGACCACTGTGCTGGCAGGAATGCCCAGTCTGCAGCTGATCGGAATCGTCATGGTGTTGGAGTGATTCTGGGAAATGGGGAGGACAGACAATGATCAGGGATTGGAGGTGGAAACAACTGTGAACGATCAGTGGCTTTGACTTTGAAGAATATTCATAGAAAGAGGCTGGAACCATGGTTTTAATATTTTTAAAACTGTAAATCAGTAAGGAGGTAGGCATTTTATTTCAAAAAGAGAAGTACAGCAGTATGTAATGCATTATTTTAATGTATATGTGACATATAAAGCTATCTGGCTACTGATATCCAATGATATATTTAATAGAAACTGACTGGAAAATAACAGCAGTAAGAGAGGCAGGTAAACTGAAAGACAGTACTGAAATGTGTGAATGGACACGAAACGCTTCACAGATCTCAAGCTTTACCAGTTGTGGGTAGCGGGAGAGGTCTTCGAAGGAAGTCCTGCTCAGAGCCATGTGGCTGGGGGTGATGCAGTCTGTGCCTTCTGTCTGATAAAAACCAGGAACTGTCAGGGCACAGACACATGCTCCGGGCACACACACTTCACACAGATTACAGAAGAATGACTTCATCATCTCACAACCACAGCAGTATTATTAAAATGCTGTCTCTTCTAATTTCATTTTCTGACCTGCACGAAAGCTATACAGTGCTTATAGATTTTTTAAAAACACAGCAGTCGGGCTTTGCTAGAATACCACAGGCGCGGCGCCTAGCATTCCTGACACGACGCTCCTCCTCGGTCTAGCGGTGGCTCACCTGATCGATGTGGAAACTGCTCATCCGCAAAAGCCGGTTTCCGCTTTTCGTAACTTCCGGGATCTCAATCGTCAACTGCAAGTCTCTCAATGGATAAAAGCCCATATTCTGTATCTGCATTTCAGAAAGAAAGAGCGAAATGTGGACTTGTTTTTAAAAACCCTCACATATTCAGGTTCCCATTTGTTTTCTAACACTGTAAAAATATATTAATGTGAGTCACTTCAGAACAAAGTGCTCTACGTCCACCACATCTGGCATATTTTCATAACATCGAAAAAGCCAGTGAACTTTTCACTTCAACTTTGCCATTTGAACTCTTCACTGAGACACTCTGGAGAATTTGCTATGAATTCTTTTTACTTCAGAGAAGAGGAGCATCTACAGTTCACTTCCCGGTCTGCTGACCAGTCCCGTTCCCTGAATCAGTGCTGACCGGTCCCTGCCCCGGGCCTGCAGTAACGCTCAGACTGAGCCGTATTCCTGCTACGGGTCACGTCAGTATCAAAGGAGGAGCAGCCCAGGGGCTGAGAAACACTGATCTACAGGACAGAAAATGTAGTCGGAAGTCCTTCACTGTGGCCACGATGTAGCCTCTCTCTGGGTCTACCTGGAAGGTGAAGTTGAAGTGGGGAAGGTGACCGCTGTGAGTGTCCAGGGAGCGGTCGGCTTTGATCTCGTAGCGGGAGGGGCTGGAGTCCCTGGTTAAAGACGAGATGGGAGTGGAGGTGAGCTCTGGACAGCAGCGAAAGACAGTAGGCTGGCTTTGAAAAGCTTACAGCTTAGTGGTCACTGAAACGCTAGAGGCTGCATCTGTTTTTCGACTGGTTATAGTCAAAGCCAAACACAATCAAACAAGTCACATGAAGACAAAAACAGATGCTGTAAATAACATAAAATAAATCATGCTGCATTCAAATTTGTAATTGCGGAGAGTGACCATTTATAAATTTCCTGTACTTTCCCTGTTCTCTTAAGGCGAATAGTGAAGGAACCCTGGAAAATACTGGGTGAGAACATGCAAACTCCACATATAATGCTACTAAGTCTAAAATCAAATCCAGGACCTTGAAGCTGTGAAGCTGTTTACAACCACACCAACATGATACCATTTTAACACACCGTGTTACAAAATTCTAATTTGAAGTTAAGAGAAAGGTACAAACTAAGTATATATCTAATTTAAATCTTTACTGGTAATTCTTCCTATACTGTATGTCAAAAATAATAAATGAAGATGAGAAAATGCACCTTGTGAAGAGAAGGTCAGCTTCATATTTTAATGGATATAAAATGTCATTTATGTTGTCTCCAACAGTTTTTTCTTCCCCATCACTGCAGAAGAGACAAAAAGTCAATTAACAACAGTATGTAATAATGAATTAAGGAATGCCAAAAATAATACACAAAACAAATAT